CTCCAACTGTCCCCTCCCTGCCACCTCTCCTCCGCGCCAGGGGCGCTCCGGGGCTGCGGTGCACCCAGGCCTTTGGCCTCCGCGGGTGCCTGTGGGCCCTGCTCTGTAAGCCTGACTTGCAGTGAGGAACCCGGCCGCGCAGTGAGGCTGGCCTGAGGGCTCATTATTGTTCCCCGTGCTCGGTGCTCAGAAGGAGACTTTGAGTGCAAAGGCGAGATCTGAATGAGAAGCAAAGAAAAACAAGGAGGAGCGGAGGGCGGAGGGCTGGCTGGGAAGGCTGCATCGGATGCAGCAGCTAAGAATGTATTGTGTTTGGAGTGCAGGACCTCGAGGTGACCTCCTGCCCAGGCCCACTGCGGGGCCCCAAAAACTCGGCCTAAGAGGGCACGAGACCGTCTTTGCAGTCAGAGCAACTCCCTCGCGTCCCAAGCCCACGCTACTGCTTACTAGCCCCTCCTCAGTTTCCCCAACTGTAAAACCGGGCTCTGGGTAAGATGTGCCACCAAAAGGACGGAAAGCAGATCGCCCGTGGCTCTTACAAAGTTCAGCCCCTTGCGCCTTGGTCTTCTCAACTGAGAAATGGGCTACTCACAATTCCTGGGGGTGAGACTGGGGAAATCGACGGAGAAGTCCTCGGTACTCATTACATGGAGGCCAGGAATAACTGTAAACCTCAGTGCGTTCTCCCCTCTCCGGGGAATGTCCTGCAGGACCCAGAGTGCTAAGAGGAGAACTCCTCTCCTTTCCTCTCTGCCCTCCCCTGACACGCCGCTGGCATTGACCCCTATGGGCACTGAGAGAACTGCGGTGGAGCGGGAAGGGCTGCGGCGGGCACCACGGGAGGAGTGGGGTGGGGAGAGCGCTGTTTGGGGCCTTCCTGGTGCCACAGGCGGCTCCAGCCATGTCTCCTGCCCTTTCCCGCATAACCAGATAGTGGAGTGGATTCTGTCCCCATGTCCATCAAGGGAGCACGCAGTGGGGCAGGCCTCTGTCCTGGAGGAGTCCCCCCATGTCCATCAAGGGAGCACGCAGTGGGGCAGGCCTCTGTCCTGGAGGAGTCCAGCAACCGGGACCACCGAGGAAGTGGGTGTGCTCACGGGCCGGGACTCTTCTCCAGCGCGGTGCCATCCGAGGGGGTAGTGGGGGGGGGGGGGGGGGGGGGACAAGAGCTTCAGGACTCTAGTCCTGGGGATGGGTGTCTTTTGTCTTTTTCTCGCCCAATTAGATGCGCTGTGAACTTGCACTCATTCTCCATTCACTCCAGGCACTGGGCCTGGAGCCTGGAACCCCCCTGCCTTGGTTCCTGCAGGTGAAGAACTGACAATCCAGTGGAGAAGACGCCCTCGGACCGGCCTCCATCTCTTTGAGGCAGAGCTGGAGCAGGTCACCTCCGAGCCTGGCCTGCTGCCAACACACTGAGCACAGCGGCTGGCTCGGCTCGGGCGCCCTCTGGTGGTGAAGTCTCTCCCGTCCTCCCCTAGGTCCCTCCCCCTGCCTCCCGTCTGGGGGAAGGGGGCGGGGGTCCTAGAGGCTCAAGCTAAGGCCCTCCCCCACATCCCTATGTTGCTGGATAAACTAGGCGGGCCAAGATTTAGGGGCACACCATGCGTCCGGAACCCGGCGTGAGCTGCGGGATGCCTCGCCTGCCAGTCTGACCAAAGCAGAAGTCAAAGCCTCAGGCTTGCTTCCTTCTTGCCCCCAAATCAGTGTGGGAGAGGCCGCGTGGCTGGGGCAGAGGGTAGCCAGGGCCTCCTGGCTGGCGGTGTCCTGAAACCCCAGGACCTACACTCCAGAGCCCACCACCTCCACTGTTCATACTTACTGAGCACCTACTAGTGCCAGACACATGTCTTTAATACCGAAATATTTTAGTAAAGGAAGCACAAAACCCCTGTCCTCATGGAGTTTACATGGGGTGGGGGAGAGGGGCACTACACCTAACTAATTAAGCAGAGAGTTTATAGAAGGTCGAAGGTCATTAAATGCTATGGAAACAAGGAGTTGAGGAAAGGGGATGGATCTTAAATAGGAAAAGCCAAGGATCTGTGTTTTAGATAAAAATTCCCACAATTTTTCAGTTGGCAAGCTATTTAAATTTAAAACTGTGCAGGCCAACGCTCTGGGGCCAGGGGCCAGCAGACTGTGCCTTTTTAACCTGGGCTCAGCCTCGGGGGCACCCCCAAATGCAGGGCAGCAGTGCCCACCGCCCTTTCTCCTGCCCTTTGCTTATGCCACCCACTATCTCTGCTTGAAAGACTTCAATTCACCTTTTTCTCTTTCTCTGCCAGGAGCTCTGTCCCCACCAAGACTGGAGCAATGCCCCCTTCTGTGAGACCCCCTGAATCTCCCCACTCAGCGTTCACGATTGCTGCCCCTCAGGACACCTGTCCTGTGGCCTTGGAGAAGGGAGGGAGGCAGGAGTCTGCCAGTTGAGGTAAAAGGCAAGTGCATGGCCTGAGTGTGTGTGATGATCTCTAAACCCCAGGTACCTGCCCCTCGGCCTGGGCTGTTCCATCCTTGAGGGTCCATGGGTTGGCTTTTGAGGAAGAAACAGTGCAAAGTTGAGGGTTTGCACCAAATCATTGTTTTCCAACAAGATGACTTTAGGTGGTACTTGGAAAACATTATTTTTAAAAATATAGATTTATGTATTTATTTATTTTTGTTTGTTTCTATTTATTTTAAAAGTAATAAGAAAAATATGCCTGGCACATTAAAGCAGACACTTAGGATTGATTTCATTTTTAAAAAAATATCTGATTAAGTTTTAAAAAGTAACTAGATTTGAACTGACAGCATGAAATAATGTGGGCGGTTGAGGATATATAAACAATTAGTGATACAAAAAGATCTGAAGTTTGAAAATGATGCTTAAAGAACATTTTTTTGTATTAGTTAACACTTTCTACCCCCCTTTTATTTATTTTTTTCACTCTTATCTTTTTATTTTCTTCTGTTAATCCTCAACAGAGGATATGTTTTTATTGATTTTTAGAGAGGGAGGGAGGGAAGGAGAGAGAGGTTGAGAGAGAGAGAAAATGGTTGCTTCCCTCTGGTATGTGCCCCAACCTGGGATCGAACCCGAAACCTAAGTATGTGCCCATACTTGGAATCTAATCCACAACCTTTGGGTGTATGGGACGATGCTCCAACCCAGTGAGCACCTGGGTTGTTCTTTTTAAACAAACCACTTGGGCCCAGAGTAGTAAAATGAAATCATGTGAGGGAGGTATGGCATCTTCCTCACTCCTGTCTTCCCGGTGAGACCAGAGAAGCCTCGCTAAGGAGAGCTCAGGTCCTAGGAAGAGTGTGAGGACTCATGAGATCTCACCCCCGGCCCTGGGTACCCTGGCACTTCCACCCCAACTGTGAGTCCTTCTCTCAGTTCT